CAAATGGCTCTGACTAACAAAAACTGGTTTCTGATTAAACATGTTTCAGTTACCACATTCAAGTTAGCAAATTGAAATAATATGACATCCACTGATTTGACCATGTAATTCATCAAAGTGGCAAAAAATCCAAAAATTCGTCATTATTCCTATTTTTTAAATTAGTGAATGAAGGCTTTATCAAATAATATCACAAAAAAGGGGGATGGGGATGGGGGCAGGGGCAGGGGGAACGAATACAATCACCAACACAGAATTTATTTCAGCACAAAAGTTTAACATATGTTTGAGCTAGAACCCACCACCGAATAACCAAAACACATACGCAAACAAAAACACATGATAGGTTTGGCATTGACCAATCAGAAAAATCATAAAGCAAACACTCCAAATTAATCAAAGAGCAATGCTACAGTTACCAAAGAATACGCATCGAATTCATACACCGAATGACGTGACGTCATCCTGTTTTCTTAAAAAAAGAAATTCATAATTAATCGACAGTCAGGATGGTGACATGTCGTTCGGTGCATGCATTTGGTGCGCATTCTTCGGTAACTGTATTATTTTCCTTAATCAAAAGATCGAACACACTATGTGAGATAGAACATACAGTGCTCCTAAATTTCAGACAAACTCAAAGGATGGATGAGAGTGGAGCAGAGGGTTAAGATCACAAAATGAACAAGCATTAAGAACAAACACCAGAAAAGTAATGCAATGCTTCAATACAGACTCCAACTATCAGCCATCCAAGGAAATAACTGTACATACCTCGGATGGAGTAGCAGTGCGATGGAAGATTCTGGTTATTCCACGTTGGATATCAGGTGATTTTCCTAAATATGTCAAAACTGAAGAAAGAATATAATAGAATTCAGGTTCTACAATTGTTACATCAGAATTTTCATCAAGCCCACCAACAATTTCTGAAGTTTTATAAGATCCCATGGATTCTGCAATCTCAGAGACAACGTCAAGACGAGCAGATATCAAATTTCTATCACATAAAGGGTGAGTTACCTGTATCATGCAATGAAACTAATGAATCATATATGGGAAATATGAATACAAAAAACATCAAACTAGGTTTATCTCATACCCAACGTCTAAGAAGCCTTGAACCATATATAGTAAGAGTATGATTCATAATATGCAGCAAGGAGCCAGACTCGGACCCATTTGAGTTATTCCTTAACACCTGAAAGCAATAAATATGTCTATTAAAGTAAATAAATATATAATTTTTTAGAAAGAAGTCAAAAGCTTAACTAAATGAACGCCAAAAATAAGTTAATCGATTTTATAGAAATATAGTAAATTCCTAGAAATGACTTCAAGCAATGTCAACGCCAGGCACTAGCACAAAATCAAAGGTGTGGGAAGCTGGTGATATTAGCATATCTCTGTTAACTTCATTTTTAGAAATTTTAACTTCAGTAGCCCAAACTTACTATTGAATCATTTTCAAGTCACTCCCAGCATGCTTTAAACGCCCACTACCAGAAACTAAATTAATCACACCACCAAACAAATTCAGTTGGTTTTAGCAGGAAGTGACCAAGAAACTTCAATTGAAATTATTTAGCTAAACATGTGAAAAAAGTAAATTACCTCCAGTTGTTGGAGTGCATTCGCCGAGAGAGTCATTTCTGTGTTGCTTGATAAAGACCGAAATGAAGCTCCAAGGCACAAAATTCTCTCAAATCCAAATTGTTTGAGGTGATGAATTGTCAATGCTAATGCTTGGACAGCCAAATCTGGCATGTTCATAATGCCCTTTTAACAGCACAATTACATTAGAGAAACCAAGAGGATAAATGAATACACACAATGAAAGGAAAAAAAAAAAGCTAACATCGCACCTCAATTGTGGAGCTATGATTTCCCTTCTCTCCCACATCGATACTTTCCTTGTCATTATTTGCTAAATTTTCTTCACCCATGTTCTCATATAATGACATCACTTCAGCAAGTGCACCACCACCACTAAAGCAATCACGTGCGGCACGCTCCACACGAACGTTTGACGCCGGTCCAGCATATGTCAATAGCAACTAATATATAAAAAAAAAAAAAAAAAAAAAAAGTGCGATGATTTCAGGTAATTTTGGGGCTGAAAAAAATCAACTACTGAAGTATCAGTTTGTGGCTCAATGAATTCAGAGTGAACATGAAATTATATTTCTTACAGTAACGCTGTCCACAGTCCATAAGCATACAAACATCAAGAAAACCTCTTCTTACTCTTCATAAAAGATCCAATAAACCTTCACATAATTCCTCGAGAACAAGTCCCACATACATATGATATCTTCCACAACTTGCTTAAAAAGGTAAAATAATAATAATGCAACATTATACACCAGTCTCACATATATATAAGTCACTAGTTTGAGACTACCACAATCATCAAAAGCATATGAAAACTACCTTCTCAGTCTGTTTCGAAAGCGGTTGTCCAAGAAGCAGCTCAGCAGGAGACAAGCTGAGCACAACAGCCTCAAGCCCACTCCTCAAAAAACCATCATTAAACTCCCCATAAATTACATCACCAGTGGAAATCTCCACCGCAACAACACCAATTCTTACATCAAAATCATCATCATTTTTGCTTATAATATCATTATCCACAACACAAAACAAATAATTGCTCTCTCCACCACACCCTTCTTCACCTCCCCCAACATCCTCCGCCGCCTCCAACGTAGCCTTAGTGTACAAAGCTGACAACCCCCTCCCAAAAGGACCCAACCGCGAAGGCCCATGGGCCTTAATGGCTGCAGTTTCAGTCTGTTTAACAACTCCAACTTTATAACCCGCGCTGACCAATCTCCTCACGTGGACATTTAATCGAAAAGTTGGTATGCTCGCCGTCATAAAATTGTGATCCTCGTGAGCGTAAATCCCCAACACCTTCGCCGCAATTTCCGCGTCTTCCCCGAAGAACCGGTACTTGTAACCGACTTCGATCATGAGAAGCACGTCGGGGTATTTGTTTTTGAGGTCAACCACTTGTTGCTCTAAAGGAGTGTACTTTTTGCTGGAAGTTTGAGTAATGTTGGAAGGTTCTGGAAGTTTCGGCAGAGGAATGGGATTGTGAGTGTGGGGGGAGAGCTTCGGTTTCTTGGGAGTAGTAGAAGGGAATTGAGTAGAAACGACTTTGCGTTTTGAAGGAGAAAATGAAACGGTTGCGCATATTTTAGGACACGGCGTTGGTTGTGGTGGTGGTGGTGGTGGTGGTGTTGGAGTTGGTGAAGAAGAAGACGATGAAGGTGGAGTTTTAGGTTTGGGAGCAAAGAAGCGGGAAAGTACTTGTTGCTTTTGTTTGCCCATGGATTTCTGATAGTGAATGAGACTTCGAAGCTCTGTTTCGGAGAGCTGCGGGTTCCTCGGTTTCGCGCGCTTTCTTTTATCTGCATGCAGTAGGGTGAGTCTACTCGCGTGCGCGAATATAAGTATCGGGCCCATTGGACCGAATAGGCCGGACGGGCCTCGCCTAGACCATGATTTGGCCCGTCCACCAGAATCATAATAGACGGGCCGGTAAACTTACACCACCATTTACTATTTGACCAGAAAGTTTTTCCATTTTTTGTTTAACCATAGTCAATCTTTATACAATTATAGAAAGATAAACGAGACCATTTTTTATTTTTTTTAACTGGGGTTGGTACTTAGGGAGAGAGGAAGCAACTGATTTTTTTTTTTTTTTTATAATGAATTATCATTATTGGCATTTCTGTCTTTTCATCCATTAATTGCAAATATAATACCCAAAGCTGTCAAAGAAAATTAAAAGAATGTGTCGTCCATGGATATTGTTTGTGATTCTGGGTTCCCTATTAATGACCTGAAGCCGATGGACAATTCAATGTAGCCTAACCAAACCAAAGAAAACTAAAAAAAATCAATTGGTCAATTGTCACCTCTCTTCAAACTATAAAATCTTGTTGCCTTGATTAATTAAGAGGAGACAGAGAAAGATAACCACCTTCTATTCTATTAGACTCTGTATATATGCGTAATTAATCATTCGTTACTTTCTACTAATATAAATTAAATAAAAAAATTATATACTTTAGAATTTACTTAATATTCTATGATTTAATTTTTATTTTTATTTTTTTTTTGGTTTTTAAGGTGGAAAGAAAATTAAAGTATCTAAAAAGAAGGGAATAGGATAATAAAATAGTCAAGTCATGTGATCATTGAGAGGTACTTAAGGGAGTTGATGGTAAGGCAGAAAAAGTTGAGGAGACAAAAGGCTAAACTTAAACCACGTAATACCAAAAGTAGACAACACGCTGTATCCACAACATCCTATACATAAAATTGAGGTACAAAAGCGACCACCACTTCGCTTTTGTTCCCATCCAATTCAATAATAATTTTGCATTCAATGCTCTCCTCCTAAACCTATTTTTTTTTTTTTTTTTCAAATTCCAAAAGTATTTTTTATTTTATTTTTATTGTTATTAAAATACCCTAACCACCCATTTCCAAAAAAAATAAATACATGTATTTATATACACACAAATTCCAGTAATATTAGCTGTAAAACATAGTTTTAAAAATATAAGAAATGGTGTTTTTGATGATAGATTAACGTATTTAGTATAACCTGTATAACCTTAAGGGGTTAGTCTCATGGTTAAAAAAGTTTATTCATTTTCTTGAGTTTTTAGTTCAAACATTGAGACTATCTATAATAATAATATTATAGTTTATCTTGTCTTTTAGGTTTATAAGGTGTTTAATTGACTCGGAAAAACTTGTCCAGACACTTTTAAGAAAAACAAAAAACATATTTAGTATGGATGGAGGAAAATTTATTGTCCAAATGTATCTTGAAATAGACAACTCAAGGCTGGCATTACTGTAAATAAATTCAACATTAAGCATGAAAAATAATATAAAGAATTTTCAGAATAAGATTTTATATATTTATCCATATATATCAACTTCATAGCTTAGCCGAGGTTAGGTTTACGGGAAGCCTTTCGCTTGATGCGAAACCCAATACCAAAAACCTCCCTGGTTACTTCTCCACTTCATATGAATGGGAAATGAAAAACTTTTCCACAAGATTCCACCTTCCACTCGAACAACAAGAGGCCCAAAACCAAGAAAGGAAAGACACAGAAAAAAGAAACACAGAAGAAGATAAACCTGCAGCTGAAACAAAAGAACAAGAAGAAGAAAGAGCGAAAAGCGAATGGGATTTCAATCTTTGTACCATTGTTTCTTCAGACGCCACTGGAGCCGCATCAGATACCCTCGGTGTCATCGAATTCGACCCCTCTGATTCCATCATGGCGACCGGAGGAATTGCAAGAAAGATTAGAGTTTATAATATAAAGTCTTTGTTGCCGGAAGATAATAATTTCCAAGATGTTAATTTGTTAGAACACTCGAGCGCATTTGATTATTGTATTTGTACCCCGGCTAAGCTGAGTAGCCTGCGGTGGAAACCCGGAACCAGCGGGCGGGTCTTGGGATCCGGAGACTATGATGGAGTAGTGATGGAGTATGATCTGGAGAGAAGAGTGCCAATATTTGAACGTGACGAGCATGGTGGGAGACGGGTTTGGAGCGTGGACTATTCGCAATGGGATCCGGTTGTGGGAGCATCCGGATCCGACGATGGCACCATGCAAATGTGGGATCCACGTTGCGATGGTGGGAAGTGTATGGCCAAGGTGCAGCCCAGCGTGTCACGTAGTTCGGTTTGTTGCGTTGAGTTTCATCCGTTTGGTGGAGCATTGGTAGCCGTTGGATGCGCTGACAAGAAGGCTTATGCGTACGACGTCCGGAACATGGTTGACCCTGTACTTGTATTTGACGGGCACAGAAAAACAGTAACATACATTCGGTTCATGGATGAAAGTACTCTGGTATCAGCAGGAACGGATGGATGTTTAAAGCTCTGGAACATAAATGATTCGCGAATAATTAGAAATTATAAAGGACATGTGAACAGCAGAAGTTTCGTTGGTTTATCAGTGTGGAAAAATGGAGGATTACTGTGTTGTGGCTCAGAAACGAATCAAGTGTTTGTGTACGACAAGAGGTGGGGCGAGCCCATTTGGGTGCATGGGTTCAAGCCAGTGGGTGCGGATGGAGCCGAGAGTGGGAGTGAGCGTGGGTTCGTGAGTAGTGTGTGTTGGAGACAAGTGGGGAAAGAGCAGTGCACACTTGTGGCAGGAGGATCAGATGGGGTTCTGCAAGTTTTTATGGGCGAAAGGAAGGCATCCTCATCGTCATCATCGGCTTATTAGAAAAAAAAAAAAAAAAAGGGTACTCGATCTTCCATTTATTTATTTACATACAATATGATTATTTATCAAACCTTGATTAATATACATAGAGAGATAAGAGGAGGATGGTTTGCTAAAAATAGAGATGATGATAAGAGCAAACGATAAGGTTATTTATATATACAGCATTTATGGGATTTTTCAATGCACCAACTGTTGTTTTATCGTTCTATGGAATCAACTTTAGATCTGATCACAGCTTTCTGTTGTCACCTTCTTGCTTTACAGAGAATTTTAGGTCTTTCTTTCTCTTTCTCTCTCTCTTTTTTTTCCCCCCTGCTAGCTCTATCTATAGTACTGTGTTAGCTAATTTTGTTGGTGTTAGTAATTTTGACTGTACTAACTTCCCCATGAACTGTTTCCCAAATTAATTATGTCATGTAATTTTTATGAAATTAAGAATCACAGATGAAATATTGAATCTGAATCTGGGTGTACTGCAAGAATTTATTTCTCGAAACCTCATTTACTACCTTGTTTGTTTATAATTACTCAACAACAGCTCTCTCTCTCTCTCTCTCTCTCTCTCTCTCTCTCTCTCTCTCTATATATATATATATATATATATATATTCTTGTGACCGGTGTATCCAAGCCAGTTTACATACACTTTAACTATTCCTCAGAGTCTTAAAGTTAACGGTTGGATAAACCTCTAGTGATCACCCATATTAACAACCAAGGTGAATCGAACTCTGAGCCTTTTTGGTAACACTCTAAGAGTCCCTATTCAGGCCACCCAAGAGTGGTTTATATATATATATATATTTTGCCATTATTAAGGTATTTTTATATACTTGAAACTACTTCCAGCGCACATCACTTTTTTGATCAAGTAATTATAATTAAAAGTTTTAAGCTAAAGTAGATACATGTTCATTAATAAAGATGATATGAATTTGTTAACAAATTCAGGTATCTTCTTGTATATATACATGCGAAAGTAGTGGAAGATTCTTTGTTATAGCAACTAGAGCATTCTGAAAAAGTATTGAAAGCTCATGCTGCACGCAAGCCATAATGTGATCTGCAATTTAAGAATGAATGAGTTGAGACGTTATAAAACCTTGAGAGACAAGAGACTAAGAGTAGCTATTGGTCCTTTACCCACTGCCACTAGGGGTGTTCAAAAGCGGTTAATTACTTTTCTGAACCGAACCGGTTTAGGAAAATTCTTAAATCGAAACTGAACCGGTTTGGGGGAAAACTGGTTTTCAGTTAACTGTTTAAAAAAAGCGGTTAACCGGTTTTGAACCGGTTTTCCCATTTTTTATTGGATAAATTTTTATTTTTTTTAAATTTCTAAATTAAATTGTAAACATAAACAATACATATCCAAATAAAAATTAAACATTCATACATATTAAAAATTAAAAAAATATATTTTTATGTTTATATATATATATATGTGTGTGTGTGTGTGTGTGTGTGTGTGTGTGTAAACCGGTTCAAAAAAAGGGTTTCGATTAACCGGTTTTGATTTTTTCCTGAATAAGTAACGGAACCAAGAATCTGGTTTTTTTAAATTTTTTGAACTGTAACCGAACCCTTTTTTCGGTTAACCGATTTTTTGGTTTGGTTCGGTTTTTGCATTTTTTTGAACACCCCTAACCGCCAGTAGTGGACCAACTATGTAGTATCTCTCTTAAGCAATTACATATCTTTACTTAGCCATTAATCAACTTATATTATTCTAATTAATTATATTTTTCGTACATGCTCTTAGAAAATTACCTAAGGACCAATAATTAAAAATTACATTATAGTGACACTAAAATAATTAATCATTAATTATCTCTAGGTGGCCAAGCGGTTCGATAGAGACTCTTAAATATATTACTTAAGAGTTATTGAGTTTGAGTCTCTCTTCAATTGCTAATAAAGTAATCACTAGAGCTCTTACCCGACCAGTGGTTCCAGGGTCCCGACGGATGAGGGATTAGTTGATGTATGCGTAAATTGGCCCAAACACCCTTGTTATTATAAAAAAAAATAATAATAATAATCATTCTAATAAAATGGATAACTTAATTTTGATAAATCTGCAATAAAAAAGGTTTAATAATTAGAAATTAATGAAGGTATGTCAACATTAAGGATAAGGGTTTAACTATGATTATTCATTTCTCTCATCATGTACATATTATTTCATGGGAAATATTGTTCTTATGATAAAAAACATTTATATGTTTTGTATTATTAAATTTCACCGAATAATAAATTCGGTTTCTAATAACAATATAAAGCCTGTAGATGCAAAAATCTACCGTTACGGAAAGAGGGACTGATCCTGTGAGGTTGAGACCACTAGCGATCTGATATACCTACACACGTAAGAAAACAAGTGTGAAGCAGACGGAAAACACTGGGGTGGTGTTTGCCATAGGCACTCCGACTCTCAAGTCAGCAAGGCCGAGTGAGGCTAGTTTAGTGAGGGTTAGGGAGAGGAAATGTTACCAGAAGTCTAGTCGGGGACTGTGACTACGGTTGTAATGCGAAGTTCTCAAGAGGGAACTTTAGGGTCTGAAGGTGTAATGTCTTTGTTCTTTGTGAGAGGGCTGCCCTATGTTTAAATAGTGACTGTATGGTCTTCGAATCCTAGTGGGACTGGGAGTCCTTGTAGCGGTGGTCCTCCTAAAGGGTGGAGCCTTTGGCTCCCTGATCTCAACAGGAAAGGGAGTTCAAGCGTGCCTAGGATACGAACCTTGGAGGAATTGGGATAGTAATTGACTTCCTTAGTAGAGTTCAAGTAGTACTGTAGTTCGTAGGCGACCGTGGGCTCCGAGTTGATCGTAAGCCCAGAGAGCATTCCAGGATCAGGAGACCTGGGTCCAGATGGTGAGGAACAAGGAAGGCATACCGAATGAGCCTCATCTACAGAACTCTAATTTGGGCCCTATCGGAATTGAGCCTGAGCTTTCATCTTTGCTGGAGATATCTCCGTCTTTGGGCCTATTTGGACCGAGGATAATTTTTTGCCCTAACAGTTTGCCCCCTACCCTATGAGTTAATGAATGCTTAGCTTAGAGAGTAGATATTGCTTGGAGATGTATTTGGTCGGCCTTCGTGGTCGACCGATTGAACATATAAATGTGTCTCTATTGTCAATGAGACCTTCAGTGCACCAGACCGGGCAGATGGAGGTGAAACGTGGTCATGAGCGGACTCGATGCCCTTGACCGAGTGGGAATGTGAAGCTGACCCACGGGGGTGTCATCAGTCGGTGCATGTAGCTGAGTGAGTGGGTGTATGAGCGAGCTATCTCGTGAAGGCATCTTCGATCGGCGTGTGGGACCGAGTGGTGGGTAAGCGAGCTATCTTATGAAGGTGACTCGCTCGACATGTCAGACCGAGTGGTGGGTGAGCGAGCTATTTTATGAAGGTGCCTCGCTCGACGTGTCAAACCGAGTGGTGGGTGAGCAAGTTATCTCCTAAAGTTATATTCGCTCGGTGTGTCGGACCGAGTGGTAGATGAGCGAGCTAACTCATGAAGGTGTCTTCACTTAGTGCTTCCAGCCGAGTGGATTGCATTAGGCCCAACTTGGTTGTGGCGCCTCAGGTGGATTGGTCAAATTTGAGCGAAAGGATGTATGGGTGCTTATGTTCCAATCGCAACCAGCTCGTCTGTCTGTGATGACCGAGTAGCTTGGTACTCTTCATCTCTGCCGGTGTTAGTCTCGGGGCTAAAAGAAGGATTAACAGTTCCAATTTGGTCGCTCGGTTGGGGGGGACTTCCTAAATGGGTGAAGTATCAAAATGCATTGGCTTTGCTGTGAATAATTGGTATGCTTGAACATGCCAACTCGGTCAAGTAGGTCATGTGATTCAGTGTGGTACTTGCGCGGGATCGCGATTTCCTAGCATGCGAGGATTCATTCCACGTGTGTGGTGGATATTCTTCCTTTGTTTGGGCGGGAATTTGAAAAGGCGATTCGCCTAGGGCAAAGCATGTTTTGCCATGTGGACCGTCGATGTGATCGTTATTAAATGCAGTGTCTGAACGTTTTTGGGTGCGATTCGTTTTTCCAAAGTAGAAAACTGGAGCATTCTTCTTCTTTCACAGGGGAGTATTTTCGCAAGGGAATATTTTCACGAATTTGGGATTTTTCTGGCATCTTTTCACGGTAATCGCTTCTTCTGGGTTCTCTCTTTCTGATTTATTGCCTTTGTTTTGTTTCTAGGGTAGTCTTGTGTTGTTTTTAAGGTGATTTCGGGTATGTAGAGGAGGGAATCTAAAGAGAAGGTTTTTGGGTTTTTCTCGTTTGCGAAGAAACTAGTTTTGTGTTTGCATTTGGGTAAGCTATTATAAGGATTTGAAAAAGTTTTTGGGAGAAGGTTCGAATTTTGGGTTGAACGGAGAAGGTAAAGGATTTTTGTCGGTGATCAAGGATTCTAGATTTACAGTGGCTTTTCTGAGTTTTTTTTCTAGGTTTTTAGAAGACGGAGTCAATTTATATTGTTTTTTGTTTGGCTCATCTCGGTCTACTTAATCGAGTTGAGTGTGGCGTTTAGCTAGGATTTTGAAGTTTGACAGTCTTTTTAGGTCGACCAGTCTTTCAGATTGAGTGGTTGGTGGTTATCGTCTGGGTCGAGTCAAAGGTCGAATAGGAGTTGGGAGAGTTTGGTGTTTGATTAGTCGGTCGGTAGCTTAGGGCGAGTAGGGCACTGGAACAGGTAGATTTTTTAGGAGTGAGTCGATCGGTGGTGTGGGGCGAGTGAGGCATTGGAGCAGGGTTAGAGTTTTGAAGAGTGCATCGATCAGTGGTGCGGGGCGAGTGGGGGTGCGTTGATCAGTGGTGCGGGGCGAGTGGGGCATTGGAGCAGGGTTAAAGTTTTGGAGATAGTAGGTTCTGAATTCAGGGGAGATCGGTCACCTATGGCGAGTGAGTAGACTACTCAATGTCTGGGTCAGGATCCAGTGGTTCGAGTGGGACCGAGGTAGAAGTCGGGGATGGGTATGAG